CTGACTTTCAAATTTTTCTGTATTTTTATATCTTAGGTATATTGGTAATCAGTATACCACTGGATATTTAAAAAAAATATATCTGATCTGGTAATCTTTGTCTTTTATCTGAGGAATACAGTGCATTGACATATTGTTATAAGTGATAATTTATATCTTGTCATACCATCTTATTTTATGGATTATGCTTTTATTTTTCTTACCCTGTCTTTGCTTATTTTTTCTGATTTTCTTATCCTTCTTTTAGTTTATTTATTTAGTTTTCCCCATCTAGCCTGCCGGTTAAGAGTATGGGCTCTGAAATTCAATTGCCTGGGTTAGAATCTCAGCTTTAGTATATGCTAATCTGAGCAAGTTACTTACCCTGTTCAGTTTCCTTATCTGAAAATGGGAGTGATAATGGCCGTTACTTCATATTATTTTTGTGAAGGGTTAACATATATATAATGTGTAGAATTGAGCCTGGTACAGAACTTTTGCTATAGATGCATTGGACTGTTCTTTAAAACAATAAATTCCAGTTTGGACTTGAGAACACTTTAACTCTGATTTCTCCCTTTTGTGCTTATATGTTGTTTTGGTTCAGTATTTTAGTTCTATCTAGTTATTCTTTTAATTCTCACAAAATAGACATTTTGTTATCCTTTTATATGTTAAGAGCTTGTTTAGATTATCCATATATTTATTAATGACTTTATTTATCATCCTCTTCTAATGTTTCACTTAATATTTCTTTAATTTTCATGCTAATTCAAGTTTATATAATAAAATAATTTAAAGAGTCAAAATGAGACTGTTTCAGAAACCATCAATCCCTGGTCCCCTTCCATGTTCCTCTCCCTAGAGGAAACCCCTTTAACTGTTTCAGTTAATCCTTTTGGCATTGACTACTGTATTTTAAACATGCTTATATTATTAGTTCTTGATTTTAGTCCTGTTGTAGGCATAATCTATTGATTTCTCACTGTGAAAAGTGAGGATTTACCCATTTGTCCACTTTCTCTCCTTCTACCTTTCTGCTTTCACTGACCCCCATGTACGATTCCAATACCATAAAAAGTGGGGAATTACTGCTAACTTGGTATAGAGTTTCAGTTTTGCAAGATGAAGTGTTCTGGAGATGGATGTGGTGATGGTTTCACAACAACATGAGTGTACTTAATGTCACTGAACTGTACACTTAGAGGTAGTTAAGATGGTTAGTCTTATGTTATGTGTATTTTACCACAATTAAAAAATACTCTTGTCAGTTAGAGCACATACTGCAATGTTTACAGATTGAATGAAGGAGCTTGGGTGGATACAAATGAAACAAGATTGGCACCATGTTGAAAACTGCTAAAGCTGAGCCATGGGTACACAGGGCTTTGCTGTATTATTCTGTCTACTTTTGTGCATGTTGACAATTCCGTAATAAATTTTTAAACATTTATTTGGTGGGGAGGGGCAGAGGGGGAGGGAGAGAGAGAGAATCTCCAGCAGACTCCCCACTGAGTGCAGAGCCCCGTATGGGGCTCAGTATCACAACTCTGAGATCATGACCTGAGCCGAAATCAAGAGTTGGCTGCTTAATGAACTGAGCCACCCAGGTGCCTCTCATAATAAGTTTTTATATTTAAAAAAATCATACTAGGGGCACCTGGGTGGCTCAGTTGTTTAAGCGTCTACCTTCGGCTCAGGTCATGATCTCAGGGTCCTGGGATTGAGCCCCTCATCAGGCTCCCCACTCAGTGGAGAGCCTGCATCTCTTTCTCCCTCTGCCCCTCCCCCCCCACTCATGCTCTCTCACTCTCTCTCTCTCTATCTCAAATAAAAGAATAAATCTTTAAAAAAATCATACTAGATATTCTATTAGTTTAATCTTCTTGCAGAACTATTTCATACAGCCTGTGATGTGCTTACATGGGCTGGTTAGTCCCTGGGTTTGCTGCACAGGGATGTCCTTGGAGGTCTCTTTTTATCATTAGCCCGGAGATTTCCCTTTCTTGATTTTTTTCCTCTGAAAACCTGTTTCCTGGATCCTAGATTTTTATCTTTCTTGGTCTACATGATTATTCTGGTGAAACGTATCCTCCTGTAGGATGATAGATGAGATGAAGATTTTTTCTCAGTATCCAATGAGAGCTCATATGTCTGACAATATCTTCTTTCATTCTCACACTTATTCAATGGTTGGAGGGCTGGATGGTTGTTGCAACCATTGAGGAGTCCCTTCCACCCAACTGTGGGTCAAGCTGGTTGCTTTGTTGTCTCTTTCACAGGTGGGGTTTGTTTCTTCCTTATTCTTGTACAGGGTGAGGAGCCCTTTCATTGCCAGGCTGATGTAAGCATGTTCATGGAGGCTTCCCATCCTTGGTAAGCTTTAGACTTTGTCTCCTTTCCACCTTGTCCCACAAGACCATTAAAATGGCAGCTCACATCATCTGGGCTTGGCAGATGCTCTCAGGACAAAAGCCTGCATTGCTACTCATTTGTGCCTCTGAATTACCTCTCTCACTTTGTTTTTGAGCTACCTACTATCCCACCAGATCAATGACACACTTTTGCCTCTAAATTATTACTTCAGAGTCCAATAATTTTTTAATATTCATGATTTCTTTGTATAGATACTTAATATCTACCTGATTTCAACTGTCATTTTTGCTTTTGTCAGAACTCCTTCTTTTACCATCTCTGCTGTCTCCTTATGGTCCCTTCCCATAATTTGTAGCCTATGCTGTCCTTTTGTTGGTCTAAAAACTAGTACCTTATTCGGTTTGAATTGTGCACAAAATATGAGTAAGTAGATGCTAAATGGGGACCTGAAAGACCTTCCTGTAATTGTTTAGTTTATCTGTGACCTTCTTTCTTATCTAAAAATCATTATGAAATATTTTAGGCATATAAAAAGGGTTGTGAATAGTGTAATAAACAGCTCCCCAAGTACCCCTAACCCAGTTTAAGGAATGAAACATAAGAGGTGCAGTCAAACTTCTTTCTGGTTCTATTACCCTTTTTTCTCCACAAAGGTAACTACTAGCCTGAATTGATAATTTCCAGGCATGTTGTATGTTTATCTCATATGTATATGTTCAGAATATACATGGATTGTTTTACATATTTAAAATATACAAAACATGATAAACATATCTTTAAAATATCAGTAGACTTTATATTTTAGAATAATTTTAGGTTTACAGAAAAATTGAGCAGAACGTACTGAGAGTTTCCAAATACCCCATTCCCCAGTTTCCACTACTAGTAGCATCTTGCATTACTGTGAGACAATCATTACAACCAATGAATGAATATCAATACATTATTATTAAAGTTCACAGTTTATAGGTTTTGATAAATATATCTACCATTACAGTATCATGTAGAACAATTTTACTGCCCTAAAAATCTAAATTCTACCATTTATCCCTGTATACATTCTTTTAAATCTCAATTTTTTTTTGGTTGTATAGCTTTATTGTTTTGAGGCTGAGTCCATTTGGAGGCCTATAATAAAACACCATAAACTGGATAGCTTATAAACAACAAATATTTATTTCTCACAATTCTGGAGGCTGCAAATCTGAGGTGAGAGTGATAGCATGGCTGGTTGAGGGCCCTCTTCTGCATCACAGACATCTGCATTTTCACATGGCACAAGGAACTGGGGAACTCTGTGGGGTCTTTTATAAGGGCACTAACTCATTCCTGGGGGCTCCACCTTCATGACTTAAGCACCTGCCAAAGACCCTACTTCCTCCTACCATCACATTGGCATTAGGATTTCAACATAAATTTGGGGGGATACAAACATTCCAACTATAGCATAGGGTTACTGATGCTCTGATCCATTCCCTTTAACTGCTGATTTGTGTTTCCTCTGTGTGACTAGACCTCAAATTAATTATCTGTTCTACTGTTGGTAGAGTGTGAGTTGTTTCCAGGAGTTTGTTATTACAGACATCTCTGCCTCAATGATCTCCCATAATCTTTTTGTGAAAATACATGAACATTTCTCCAGGGTGTGTACCTAGAAGTGAAATTGGGAGTCATGAGATTTTTAAAATTATTCCTTTATACCATAAAATGGATTCTAACTACATTTTAAACAAGATTTCTATGTGTACAGATATTCCAAATGTAATGTAATTTTTACTTTCTGTTCTTCTAATGTGCAACACTCTCTCTTTCCTGTGGGCTTATTTGGATCCAACTTCTCTTTTTTTCTATTTTATCCCCATTCCCACCTCCCAGCAATTCACCCTGATGACCCAATTTTTCCTTTAGGTGTCCATCTAAAAGTCATTTCCCTAAGAGACCTCCGACTGTAGCCCACATCTGGATGAATGCCCCTCCTTGGTTTTCTGGCAAGGCTTTTGCCCCGGCTGTTGTGTAATTGCCCATAGCTAAGTTCTCCAAGGACAGGAAGCCCAGCAGAGTGCACCCTGTTGTCTCCTGTGCTCAGCACAGAGCCTGACATATAACATTTGTGGAATTAATGGAGGCATGAATGAATGAAGGTAGGATACTAATATGTCAACAATGGCAGAAGCTAGTGCCCTCCCCACAATAATTGACTGGACCATTGCAGGCTCCACTCTTAGCTAAAAGGAGAATGGAGTTCAAGTGTAGAGGACCAAAGACAAGGTCCTGAGACTCTGTCAGGCACAACAAGGACAAGGCTTGTCAGTCATGGCCAGGAGGAGATAGTTGCAACTCAGACATTCATAAGCTGGGGCCTGCCTCTGTTTACCAGCTGGGAAATCTTCAGAAAATGAACCATGAAAGCCTGCTATGCGGCAGCACTATGCAATAATTTTTCATTTGCCACCAGTCAGCTTCAGGGATCAAGGACAGCTAAACACATAACTCGCTCATGCATGTTATTTTAAAGGCATATTTTAAAGTTATAAATATGGTACATTGAGTTAATGAGGTATGTTCTTTTGGCGACAAATATTTACATTCCACATATGCCTCTTGATGTCAAAAGTGTAACTGTTTCATTTTCTTCTTTTTCTCAGGAGGCTGGGATGCAGATGGAAAAGGCCCTAGTGTCTGGGACACATTCACCCATCAGGGAGGAGAGAGAGTTTTCAAGAACCAGACTGGCGATGTAGCTTGTGGCAGCTACACTCTGTGGGAGGAAGATTTGAAATGTATCAAACAGCTTGGATTGACTCATTACCGCTTCTCTCTTTCCTGGTCACGTCTGTTACCTGATGGGACGACAGGTTTCATCAACCAGAAAGGCAAGTGTTTCTTAAAAATAGAAGGTTGCAGCTTTAATTCAAGGTTATTGCTGCAGTCTGGCATAATTAATCCAGTATGCTATTCTGCAGTGGAGCTTTGAAATTGCAAGTTTTTAGGGTGATTATAGGATAAATTTTTTGAAATGGGTTTGCATTAGCTTTCTTAATAATAATTCTGTTTTCCCTGAACTGGAGACATGTGTTGGGAGGGGACAAATAGATGGGCAGGAAGGGGTGGGAATAAGGGTTTCACTTATGGAAGATATTACTGAGTGTTAACCTGAAGGTGAATTTCTAAAAGTTATGTATTAAACTATTTTCAGTCGTGTTATGCTGTGAAGAGTTACAAAAAGCCCTGCAGAACTTGAGAAGATTTTGAGCATTTCAATTGGAGCTGAATTAGTGGAGCAAATTAACTTAGCACAGAGATTAGCACCGAGGAGTCTGGAGTCTGCTTAACTAGGAACAAAGGGCCAGCTATATCACTTGCTATCTGTGGAAGCATCTCTCGGGCATTTTTTTGTGCCTCAGTTTCCCCACAAGTAGAAAGGAATACTCAAATAGTTCTTAGTTCAGAGAGTTGTTGGAAGATTAAGTGAAATAATCTTTGTAAAGTGCTTTATACAGTAGCTGGTATATCATAAAGACATTCAAAAAGTATTAGCTATTATTCTTAAGTTTTGTAATTAAAAAGACTACTGCCCTATTTGAATGCCTTTTATTTATGAGGCATTTTACATACTTTTTTTCTAATTCCCACAGTCAGTGAGGAAGGTATAATTAGTCACATTTTACAGTGGTGCATGTCCAAATCCAGGTATTTTGTTAACAGTGGATCTGGAATTTAAACCTAAGGTCTGGCTAGTTCCTTCCATATACCAGGGTTGGCAAACTATGACCTGAGGGCCAAATTTGGCCTGACTCCTATTTTTGTAAATAAAGTTTTATTGCAGCGCAGCTATGCCCATTCATTACATTTAGTCTGTGGTTGCTTTCCCACTACAATGGCAGAATTGAGTAGTTGGGGCAGAGATCACAGAGCCTGCAAAGCCTAAAATATTTACTACCTGGTACTTCCCAAGAAAAGTTTTGTGACCCCTGTGCTACAACATAAAGGTTTCTTAATAAAGAACCTCTATTGCTACTTTGTCCTGGAAAATATTTCACATTACTCCTACGGTTGGGACTAGGTGAGGCCAGTGATGTGCCTAAGGTGCAGAATTTAAGGAGATGTTGACTCTCAGGGTCTTGGAAATGCAAGATGGGCACTTGCAGAGTCCTGAGTGAAGGCACCTGCTTGCTCATCCCTTTCAGCTGCTGTGCCTTCACTGATCGGCAGGAGTTCCATTTGAGTAAGTTATCTAATTTCCTACATAGTAAGAACAACCTGTAATAACAACTGCTAGCTGGGCTTGTGTACTTGCAAGGTTCATTTTCTGTAAGGTGGGCTAAGTTGGACATTGTGAAACGCAGCTGCACCTCATGTCTCCCCCAGATAGGGACAACGCAAGATTAGCAGGTCCATTGCTCGATTCTAAAGACATTAGCTCCCCTGACTAACTGCTGCTGGTTCAATGTCTACTTTCTTGACATCACTGGCCAGTTTTTTTTTTTTTCTGACTTTGAACAGAAGTTAATTTGTTGTTTAGTTTCAACGTGAACTAATAATTTCCCGCCTTCCTCATCCATCATCTATCTATACCTTCTCTTTTCTCCAGCACCATCACACCCCCAAGGACTAAAAACTAAGAGTAATCTTTGAATCTCTTTTCTTTGCTTCCTGCATCTAATTGGTTGCTAACTATGATCCGTTCCACTTATGTCTCTTTAACTTCTCCCTCCTGGCCATTTTCTCTGCCTCTGCCCGGCTTTAGAGTTTTATCATTCTCATCAAGGACTTTTTGATATACCCTTGCTGGGTCTACCTATTTTCACTTGTTCTCTGTCCATTAATCCCTTGTACAAAATGCCACCCCAGGAATTTGCCTAAAGCTTTGCCTCAGTCATGTTGGCTTGCATCATCTCCTGCTAAAAACAAAGCAAGATTTAAAAAAAAAAAATTTTTAAAGATTTATTTATTTGAGAAGAGGGGAGACGAGGGAAAAGGAGAGAGAAAAAAAATCCCAAGCCGACTCCCCACTGAGCACAGAGCCCGAATCTGGGAGCTTGATCTCACAACCCCGAGATCATGACCTGAGCCAAAACCAAGAGTCAGTCACTCAACTGACTGAGTCACCCAAGTGCCCCTCATAAAAAATTATTTTAGTCATCCCAAGACTCAACATATAGTGTATACTCCTTCTTAAATCATTCCATATTTTATCTGACTTAGTCTTAATTCATCTCTGGAACATTACAGGCTGAAATTCCCCTATGCATATGACCCATGCAATTGCTCCATGTAATTCCCTAAGCACATAACCCTCTACTTTTTAAACATACTCTGCAATTTTCCACCTCTGTGGGAATTTTCTTAAGCTCTTCCTCCTGCCTGGAATGGCCTTTCCTTAACTATACCCACTGAATCTCTACCCTCCTGATTCTAGGAGTTTGGAGTTTTCACTGAGTTTCCATTTGGATGGTAAACAATGAAAAATTTTGAAAAAACAACACAAAACAACCACCCCCTTGCCAACTTGTAATACAGGTTCATAACCCCTCATCTGAAATTCTAAAGTCGAAAAAGCTTTGAATACTGTATCCTTTTTAGCAAGTTTAGTTCTAAAACTAATTTGTCAACAAAAGCTAACCTGAATTGATAGGGCAGTTTTTTTTTGAATTGAAGAATAATTGACATACAATATTGTATTAATTTCAGGTATAGAACATAGTGATTTGACATTTATAAATATTACTAAATGATCACTACAATAAATCTGGTTACCATCTGTAATCATACAAAATTATTACAATATTATTGATCATATTCCCTACACTGCACATGACATCCCCGTGGCTTATTTGTTTTATAATTGGAAGATTGTACCTCTTAATCCCCTTCACCTATATTGCTCATCATCTTTCCTCTGTCCTCTCTAGCAACCATCAGTTTGTTCTCTGTATCTACCGAGACAGTTTCCATTTTGTTTTGTTTGTTCATTTGTTTTTTAGATTCCACTTGTAAATAAGTCATACGGAAATTGTCTTTGATTTATTTCATTTAGCATAATACCCTCTAGGTTCACCCATGTCGTTGCAAATGGCAAGATTTCATTCCTTCTTATGGCTGAGTAATATTCCATTACACACACACACACACACACATACATACACACATATACCACATCTTCTTTACCCATTCATCCATCAATAGATATTTATGTTGCTTTCATATCTTGGCTATTGTAAATAATGCAGCAATGAACACAGAGGTTCATATGTCTTTTCAAATTAGTGTTTTTGTTTTCTTCAGGTAAATACCTAGAAGTGGAGTTGTTGGATCATACGGTAGTTCTATTTTTTATTTTTTTGAGGAATCTCCATACTGTTTTCCATAGTGGCTACACCAATTTATATTTCCACTAACACTGCATGAGGGTTCCCATTTCTCCACATCCTCACTAACACTTGTTATTTCTTGATAATAGCCATTCTGACAGGTGTGAGGTGATATCTCATTGTGGTTTTGATTTGCATCTCCCTGATGGTTAGTGACATTGAACATTTTTTTCATGTGCCTGTTGGCCATCTGTGTGTCTTTTTTGGAAAAGTGTCTGTTGAGGTCCCCCACCTATTTTTCAATCAGATTGTGTTTTGATATTGAGCTTTATGGGTTTTTCATATATTTTGGATGTTAAACCCTTGTGAAATTTTTTTTATAATCTCAGGTAATTCTACTTGGTAAGAATATTTACAGATTTTACTGCAGAAATATTAAGGGAGACTGACCCAGACCCACTGGGAGGGTTAACTTAATATATCGTATTTGCTCTGTATTTCCTTTCTTAAAAATCCAAAAATTCTGAACACATTTGCCCCCAAGATAGGGGATTACTGTACCACTATGTCAACATACCAAGCTATTTAAAATGAACTTGAGATATACAGAAGTTCATGGAGCACAGCAGTCCAGGAGCAGGGCAGCAGAAAAGCTGGAGGGTGGTGGTGGGGAGACTGGAGATACTGGGGCCCCTTGAACAGTGTGGGGCGATCACTCATGCACATATCATGTGGAGATCATGTGCCCCAGCGCTGAACTCTTTATGTTTGGCCCCAGTTTTCGTAGAGTCATAGCTGATTAATATTACAGACTTTTCCATGAACAAGAGGGCACTGGGGGTACTTCTAGGAGGCAGAATTTCAGTAAGTGGTTGCTCAATCTGTTGAAGCAACTGGAACTGTTTTAACTCAGAAAGGGCATCACTTGTTTTTTCTGTTTAAACATTTTCTCAAAGAGCATGTAAAGAATTGGAAAACCCTTGTCACCATCCTTTACAAGGCACCCCCATTTTTTTGTGTGTGTTCAACTCCCTATTTTAAAGCTTGATTAGAGGACATTTGGAAACTTGTAAAATCCTATGTTCCCAAACTGGAAGAATATTTTATGAAGTGGAATTGTTACACAGCATTTCTCTTTCAAATGTCAAATTTTCGAGGTTTAACAAGAAGAAATTGAGCTGGCACCTGAAATCACATATTTCTGTAGTTCTCAGCTGTTCAAGTGAATTTTCCTATCTGCCACAAATGCAAGTTTCACATGATTAGTAGGTGACCCAAGTATTGGAAATAAAAAAAAAAAAAGGAATGTTTATACGGAATTTCTTATTCACTTTAGTATTTAAAATATGAGCCCAGTTAGCAGGAATGGTAAAGTAAATAACGAAAGAAACATTTATTAACCTCTTACTCCATATTGGGCAGTGCGTTAGGCTGAATAATATCTCCCCAAAGATGTTCCTCCTAATTCTTAGAAACTGTGAATATATTTTCTTACATGGTAAAAGGGACTTTATAGCTGTTATTACACTAAAAATCTTGAGATAGGGAGATTATCCTGGATT